TTCATGGCGATTTGGAGGAGGAGATTCTGATGAAGCAGCCCGAAGGATTCGAAGTTCCTGGAAAGGAACACTATGCCTGCAGATTGCTAAAGTCATTGTATGGACTTAAGCAATCCCCCCGACAGTGGTACAAAAGGTTTGATTCTTTTATGGTTTCACAAGGTTTTGACAGGAATTCATATGATTGCTGTGTGTATCATAGTAAGCTGGATAATGGTTCCATGATTTATCTTTTGTTATATGTTGATGACATGTTGGTTGCCACAAAGAATAAATCTGATATTGCTAGATTAAAGGAGATGCTTAACTCGGAGTTTGACATGAAAGACTTGGGTGCAGCTAGGAAGATTTTGGGTATGGAGATCTACAGGGATCGGGCTAGAGGTAAGCTTTTCTTGACTCAGAAAAGATACATTGAAAAGATTTTGTCTCGTTTTGGGATGGAAAAATCGAAGCCTATAAGTACGCCAACTACTGTTAGTTGTAAGTTGTCTTTGTCTATGTCACCTCAATCAGAGGAGGAGTTGTCTTATATGTCTAGAGTTCCATATGCAAACGCGGTTGGTTGTTTGATGTATGCTATGGTCTGTACTAGGCCGGATATTGCGCATGCTGTTAGTGTTGTAAGCAGGTTTATGGCTCGACCTGGGAGGGAACACTGGCAAGGGGTGAAAAGGATTTTTCGCTACCTGAGAGGGACAACTGATATTGGTCTTGTGTACGGGAATGGTAGGGAATGCTTGGTCACTGGGTACAGTGATTCTGATTATGCAGCTGATGTGGATACCAGGAGGTCTGTGACTGGTTATGTGTTCACTTTGGGTGGTTCTGTGGTTAGTTGGAAGTCTACATTGCAGTCATCAGTTACGTTGTCAACTACTGAAGCTGAGTATATGGCTTTAACTTCTGCAGCTAAGGAGTCTATTTGGCTCAAAGGCCTAGTAGGTGAACTGGGTATTGCACAGGATTTTGCTACAGTGTATTGTGATAGTCTAAGTGCGATTTGCTTAGCTAAAGATCAAGTACACCATGATCGGACGAAGCACATTGATGTCAGGTATCATTTCTTGCGTACTGACAAGAGGATTAAGGTGAAGAAGATTGGGACTGCTGACAACCCGGCTGATTTCTTCACTAAGCCTGTTCCGTTTAGCAAGTTTAAACATTGCTTAGACTTGCTAAATATTGATTACTACGTGATGTAGTAGGCCCTGAGGGGCGAAGTTGGGGAGCTCCTGGTGTAGGTGTGTTGGCCTTAAGGTGGAGCTTGCCCGGGGCTTGTGATGCAGGTGGAGCATTATGAGTTGTTATACTTGGAGACGAGTATGTGATGGGTCTTGGTTGAAGACTTATCGGGATGTATGGCTTATGCATGAGTCTTGCATCGGGTTTGGCTTGAGATGTTTTTCCACTATGTCTTGATGGGGTCGTTTGCTGACTACGAGTTCTCGTCAAGGTGGAGATTGTTGATAAGTATTAGGTGACTCGTACTTCGTAGCTTTGTCCGCCCGATCGGGCGGACATTGCCCGGTCTGACCGGGCGGTGGGGGTTGGATACGTTGAAGCATTCGTATGGAGTTTTCTTCTCGCGCCCGATCGGGCATACCTTGCCCGGTCTGACCGGGCGGAGAAGGAAAAATGCGGAGACGCGGATTTTACGATTTAAAGTTATCTTTTATGTTATCTTTTTGCCCAAGTATCTTTTATTTTAGGGATTAATATAAAACCTCCCTAATATTAGTATAAGGGTTAAGAGAGAGAGAGTGAGAGCCGTTCTTGAGAAATACAAGAATCATCTTTGTAATCTTTGCAGTTTATAGTGAAATCATTCGATCTCGGTGCCCGTGGACGTAGCTATCACATCGATAGTGAACCACGTAAATTCTTGGTGTTGTTCTTATTGTTTGCATTGAATTTCTTTATTGTTTTCTTGTTTGTTTTCGACCTTTGCTTCCGCTGTCGCACAACACTATTCGAATTACTACCTCCTTTTCATATTATTCGCAACATTCAAATGTCTAATCGTTGCAAATCATAGATAATTTGTTTTATTATGATACACTTTATTCAGCTTTCTATCTTAAAGATTTATTTCCTGACTTCTCTAACATTAAAGCTTTGAAGAAGTGAAGAATATCAGGTCTATTTGTCTTCAGTTTCAACGATGAACTATAATGAAAGTTTTTGAAGTGTAACCCTCCCAAACAGTATGCAATGTCCTACTGGCCTACATTGTTATTGCCTTATGGTTTTGAGACGAAATCTCCTTAAACTTCTGCGTTAGACTTATTCTCTAAGTGATGGTTGTAGCTCAAACCCATATTTAAGAAAAGTTTAATGTCGACAAGTCCAAAGAGCCAATGACATTGCAAGAGCTGTTGTACTACTAACTTGGTGAAGATATTTCGACATATACTACTAATTTGGTAAAGATATTTCGACATATACTACTAATTTGGTGAAGATATTTCGACATATACTACTACCTTCGTTATTTTTAAGTGCCCCACAGGACTATATTTTATAAAATACTCCGCTTGTCGTTCTATACTTACCGGTTTTTACTCATATAACGAGGATCTGAGGTGGCAATGTCGCTACTACACCATCTTAACCTCGATTACTTATCTACAACATGCGCAAAATTGGAGAATGGGACCATCATGAGTTCATGACATTAGTGGAAGACTATTGCAAATTATCTAACTGATGGCATCTTTGTCCATCATTACCGCAAAGAGCTCACCAATGTGTCTCACTTTAGTTTCCCTTTTTCCTCTATTCTATTCTTACTTTTCCTGGCAATCCCATGAGGATGGGCCATTATTTACAGCTTTGTGAAAAAGTTTAATCTAATTCATAAGGTCCCATCATTATAATGTACCCTCTTTTGGTAGCTCTTTTTTCTTAAAAATTAATTGACATATCCTTTCTAAGTTTCTTTTCTAGCCAAGAATCCAAAGTATGTTTCTGTGCAAGATTTTACAAATCATTTGTTAGAATGCGATTTATTTACCTGATTATATTTACCTAACCATCCCGAATTTATTAGACCTCATTATAATTACCCGTTGATTTATATTTTGTGTTTATCAATTGGAAAAATCAATTGTGTAACTCTTAAAAACTCGTCCATACCTTTTTTATTATTTTTTTTTAAAAGGTGAATTAATTATACATGACTTTTATTAGAATATTATTTTATGAGAAGTTATGAGGTGTTAGGATATTGTTTCCTAATAGTCAAGATTGACTAGGCTGTCTTTTGTACTAGATTAGTACCCGTCACGGTGATGATAAATATTTTACCTACTTTAAATTTATATTATTATTTGAAATTAATCATTATCATGTGTTTTTTACTTAGTGAGATTAAAAGTTTACTTGTTCTTGTTTCAAAAAAAAAAAAAAAAGTTTACTTGTTCTTTTCTTCTTTTAATGTATACATATATTTCATAATCAAATTAATATGTTGAAGTAATCAAAAAAATAAAAGTAATCAAATTAATTTACTTTCTTATACTCATAACTTATTAGACATTTTTGTTTATATGAATTTTACAATAAAAGAGGTGAGTATATATTGTATAAAAATAAATTAGCATTAATTTGATAGTATCTACGTACATATAGTAGTATTTTTGCTCCTTCAGCATTTCTTCAAAAAAATAAATAAATAAAATGGGAAATTCTCTTTGGTAACACCAAAGTATTTGATTTTCTCAGTGGTAAACAGTTAAAAAACTTATTGTCGTTGGTAAACTTGTATTATTGTCTACCAAAGATAATTACAATTTTAATTAAAATCTTTAACCATGGTTAGTTTTTGTATTTTTAACAATTAATTTATATTATTTTAGTGATAATATAAATTTAAAAAATACAGCCACCCTTCCCCTCCCTAACCGGTGCCACCCCCACCCCTGCTGGTGCCACCAACGCCCACCTCCGGACAGCGGCGCAGCCCCCACAACCGCCCACCTCCGGACAGCGGCCCAGCCTCCACCTCCGGACAGCGGCGCACCCCCCCACAACCGCCCACCTCCGGACAGCGGCCCAGCCTCCACCTCCGGACAGCGGCGCAGCCCCCCACAACCGCCGGCGAACCCCTATCCAACGCCCTTCCCATTTGCCCCATCTGACATCCTGTCTTCTTCAAGGCTAAATATCAATTTCATTCACGCCTTTCATGGTTAATTGCTTCATCTCAACTCTCCCCCACCAACAGCAACCAAAAATGGCAGCGTCACTACTCCAACCACCAAATCGCCACCATCCTTCGCCATTCCTCCACCACTGCCGCTTAAACCTCGCATCACAAGGAAGAAAGCCAAAACTCGCCTTCCTTCGCCGCGACTACGCTAAGCGTCACTACTCAAAGCGGAATTAGGGTTCAAATTAATTCCAATTACCTGTAATTCACATAATATCTTGTTCAATTGTGAGAAATTAGGGTTTCGATTACCTGAAATTCGCAAATTTTTTTTATTTTTTTTTTATTTTTGTAATTTTCGATGGTGGTGAGGTGCGAGAAAGGAGAGAGGACGGGGAAGGGTGTTCGGCGGGACGGCGGGAGACTGGGTGTACGACGGGGAAGGGGTTGGGCGTTGTCAAGGAGGAATGAGGTGAGGAGGGAGGCTGGGCGTCGCAAGTGGGAGCGTCGCCGGCCGGGGATGGGGGTGTTTGGTGCCGGCAGGGGAGGAGTGTGGCTGGTGGCAGGGGTGTGAGGGAGAAGAAAAAAAAAAATTATATTATTTAATTATTTATGAAACTTAAAATCTAACCCATAACCTCTAACTATAGTTAAAAATTAATCATTAATGTTATAAGTAACTCAAGGACAATAGTTGGATGTTACCAATGATAATAAGTTTTTTAACTGTTTACCACTGAGAAAATCAAATACTTCGGTGTTACCAAAGAGAATTTTCCATATAAAATTATGAGAAGTTATGAGGTGTTAGGATATTATTTCCTAATAGTCAAGATTGACTAGGCTGTCTCTTGTATAGTTATTGGATGATTAATTCAATAATAGGGGAAGCCAATCCATTAAATCTTTAACATATTTTACATTTCCTAATTATCCAAGATATTCATTAACCCAAAAAGTTGAAGATGTGAAATTTACAGATCATCATTATGGGACTGTTTTAACTTCAATCTTGATTTTCAGTCACTAAAACCACTAATACACCAATCTTAGAGTAGAAGAGAGAGTGTAGCAATATTCATGGCTTCAAACAAGTTAGCTGTCGCGCTATCCAGAAACAGTCGTAGAATCGTGTCTGTTCTAGTGTATTCATTTCTTGAATGGGTGTTAATTGTTTTCCTTCTTACAAACTCCTTTTTCTCATACATGATCAGAAAATTTGCCATTTACTTTGGCCTTAAACAACCCTGCATTTTGTGTTCTAGAGTTGATCACTTACTAGAGCCTGTGAAAACTACAGATACTTACAAAGATCTGGTCTGTGAGATTCATGCTTGTGAGATATCAAAACTGAGTTACTGCTCAAAACATCAGAGATTCACTGAATCACAGGAAATGTGCACGGAATGTTCTCCTGCTAAGACAAAGGATGTTATATCTGATCAGATGGTAACTAGTGAGAAAATATCAACCTGTTCCTGTTGTGCAAAAATCTCGAACAAAAAACTTCAACATTCTCGGTATATACCTTTCAGAGAAAGTTTAGTGATCGAAGAAATAGAAGAGGAGAAAAGTGAGGAGATTTGGTCCAAAGCTAATGATGATGGTAACCATAGTTGCTCAGAATGCGAACCTCAAATCCTTTCGGATGTTGGAAGCTTTTATCTCAGAGAAGCCGCAGAAGATGACAGTAATGAAGATGAAGAAGTGGATGGTCATGCAGGTAGCTACTTACCCTTTGTCAGTTTATTATCATGTAATTCAAACTAAAGCATCCGAGTCTATCACAGTAGAAAAATTCCCTGCATCTTCTTTTAAACAATTTTATTTTATTTTAATTTTTTATATTTTAAAATTTTATTTAAGAGCTTTTGATCAGAAACTTGCTGAGTTAAAATAATCTGCAAATGTATGAGTTGTGCTGAGTTGCGTGATTAGTTCAACTAATATCATAAACTTGCTGAGTGAAAGTAGTCTGCCTCAGGCTCAAACTTGCTGAGTGAAAGTAGTCTGCCTCGGGCTCAAACTTTCTGAGTGAAAGTAGTATTTCTCAGGCTCAAACTTGCTGAGTGAAAGTAGTCTGCCTTGGGCTCAAACTTGCCGGTATTGCTCGGCCTGCTTGAGAGCTTAGATGGTCTGATTAAAAAATCTCCAATTTTTCTTCTCTTAAGACTTTACTCCGAAACTTAGGCTACAATCTGGGTGTGATAGTAGTTGTTATATTTGCAGATAATCGTTATCTTCTCTCAAAATAGAATGTGATTTATCAATTACTTGCTGGGTAGCATTTATTTGGTCCTTGAAAATAGTGAAAATCCGAGTTATTAAGAAGCCAAAGCTTCTGATTGATAAGTAAAATTGACAATTTTTTGGGTAGAATTGTGGAAAGCAGATAGAAAAGTCTAGAAAAGAAGATAAAATGATGTGTATCGAACACACTGACCATCTTTTGGTTTCAGCTGATGAAAACAAGTCCAAAGTGAAAGAGTCCCTTCATGGAAGTCTTCTAGATGAGATGAAGAAGAGTGATCAGGACATCTTCAGTACAATCAGACAGCTGAAATCAGAACTTGAAGCTGAACAAAAAGCTAGAAATAAGCTGTATGCTGAACTAGAGGCGGAGCGAAATGCTGCTGCAATTGCTGCAAATCAGACAATGGCTATGATAACAAGGCTTCAAGAAGAGAAGGCTGCAATGCAGATGGAGGCACTACAATACCAAAGGGTGATGGAGGAGCAAGCTGAGTATGACCAAGACGCGCTGCAGCTGTTAAATGAGGTAGTGGCCAAGCGAGAAATAGAGACGCAAGAGCTTGAGAAAGAGCTAGATGTGTATCGAGAGAGGTTTTCTGATTATGATGCTAAAGAGAAGGCGATGCTGTTAATTCAGAAATGCAGTGGGAATTTCTCTTCTTCGTGCAGCATTGACAATGATAGTGATGTGCTATCTATTGATCTAAATCGCCACTATAAAAAAGCTGAAGATGGTAATATATCCAAGGAAATGTCTCTTGTTGACTGCTCTAAGGAATGGGGTGCAATTGAAAATTCACTGGATGAGCTAGAGGAAGAGAGACTGTCCATCATAAGACGGCTCCAGGAGTTGGAAGAGAAGCTTCGGAGCAGTGAAAAACAGGATGAAGAGATGTTTGAGGATGAAAAACAAACAGATCTTTTATTAGAAGAGCAGGATAATACTGATTTAGACCCGAATCCAGAGTTCTGCAGCCAAGAAGTTAACTTGGTCTCTTCTTGTTTTTCTACCAGCATAGTAAAGAGTGAAAATCATCCAAAAACAATGGCTTCTGTTGCTCGAAAGCTGCTTGATCTTGTAGGATCAGAAGATGATGAAATGGAAGACATGGCTTTGACTAGTAAAATTGAAGTTGAAACCGAAAGCAAAAGGTTAGCAATTGAGAAAGAAATGGAGCATGTTTATGGAAGGCTACAAGCACTAGAGGCAGATACGGAGTTTCTTAGGCACTGTATTGGCTCTGTGAACAAAGGAGATGAAGGACTTAGTCTACTTCGAGAAATCTTGCAGCATCTTCGGGAGTTAAGAGATGCAGAAATTTGCATGTGAAGTATGTAGGTGCTCTTGTGTCAAGGCCTCCATCCTGAGTCCTTTGGACACTTTATTTTTCCTTTTATTTTTCGATTCTGTCATTAAGATGCTCCTTTTTGCCTTCAACATTGTTAAATGTTTGGCAAGCCAGGCAATCATATAATTGTAGTAATAGGTTTAGTTGGTTGAGGACCTTGAGGTTAAATCTCAAAATAGTTTTTAATCTATTCGTAGTAACAGAAAATTAACTTGAACTAATTTCTACCTTCAAAAACTATTTTCCTTTACTACTCTAAGGGAAAAAAAAATAAACTACTTGGCAAAATTCTTATTTTCGCCTTTTAGTAGTCAATGTTATAGTCTTATAGAAGCTACTCAAAAAGATGTTACCGAGCAGGGCTGGTTGCCTGGTTGACTTGTTAAACAAGCAGGATTCACTTATAAGTCAGTGTATTCAAGACAAGAATCTCAAGCACAGGTTTCATATACAGTATATTTTGACAAGGAATTTCTAACCTAATAGTTTTCCAGAAGATCAACTGCTCAAGTAACTTACATCAAAGTGAACTAAATTAAAGACTACCAAAAAAAAAAATGTGACTGAAAATATTTCTGATATCTTGATGCAAGAGCAACAACACAAAAGTTTGCGTAAGGAAAACCTCAGCAGTCCAGGAACAAAGTTAGTGTAAGGAAAACCTGTTATGTAGCGAAATATTTCTGATGTCTAGCAATAACCAACTACCAGTGTGCATTCTGATAGCATGACCAACTCAGGATGATGGTTCACTACTTCACTTCTGTGATAATTTCGCGTCTGACCACTTTACATCCAAAACTTTGGTCCATATCTTAGAGCTTAAGGATTACGTTAGAAATTTTAAAACTATTATGATTACTTAAACTCTATCTTTGGATATTTGTGATCGTAGGACCATTTTACTTACGCGATTCATTGGATTTGGATATTTGATGATATCTTACATTCGAGTTGCTCTGAGATTTTCATAATAAAGTACCTTACTAGATCAAGATAAATTTTGATTTCACCATGGAATTCGAGGGCTACAAACATTACAATTATCATCTTTTTGCTATGGATGTTTCAATAGAAAAAGAAAAGATAAGACAAGAACAAATTAGGTGGACTTAGATTCTTGGAGAAATAGATCAAAAGTTTTGTTGGCAGGAATCATAAACAAAATGTTCAATAACGTTCTTAAATGAAATTGCATTAAAATTACGCAGTTTCTAATTTGGCTGTAGTACACTAGTACTACAGTTTTATGGTCTTTTGCAGATTTATGTAAGTTAAAAATACAAGTCAAGGGATTAATTCTCAAATACATATCGTCCCTAAAAAGTAACTTTTGTGTAATTGTGTTAGGAAATAGGAAGATCGCGTAGCTATACTAATTAGTAATTACTCGTCGGAAAACATGGTAATGAATAAATTAGAAAGATTATTTGTTTATGCTAGGTTAAATACAGAGCAATTAGTAAGACAGTAATATATATAAGATGGCTAAATGTGCATAAGAGTTGTGTTCTCCCATCATTTTGGATAGTTTAGTTAGTTGTAATAATATATCTTACAACGCCAACAATCATCACATTTTAAGTACTGTCTAAGGAGTCGGATTAGTTTCTAACACGGCGAGAAGATTATATATGTGAGATTTCTAATCAAACCTTGATATGTATGTACAGCATGTTAGATACACAAAATGAACACATGATCGATAATAAAATGATAATCGTTTAAATAATTATACTTAAAATGTTCTTTCCTCATCAAAATAACCCAAATACTCAACACATTAACCCAGGGCATGAGTTAATAACGTGATAATACATAGTAGTACATAATATAAAAATAGTACGACCACGTACTAAACAATAATTATTTAAGTATAATTAATGCCTAATTATAGATTTGGGAAGTAGATGGTGATTAAGGGCACTTGGGTCCTCCTTGTTGGGTCTTCCAGTTGTTGTAACACGGGCAGGATTGCTTGTTGCCGTAGGTACCTTTTGGTACACACAGACATTTTGAGCAGCACTTGAGGCAGAAGAACATGCATGGCTTCCTGTGTGATGTAGCTGAGCATCTATAGTTGCATCTTGGTTGACAATCTAAATCATATTAGTTCGGGTTAGATTCGGAGTTAACCAGAACATCAATATTAATGCAAAATAATTATTATTCCGCTGGTCTATTGTTTACCGGATACTTTATTCTATTTTTAGCAAACCCCTTTTATTATAAATATTTCACGGACTGTGCTATTTTCATATTTCTTGAATTGCGTAGCGCTGAATTAAAAGTAAAAAATAAAAAAAAAAATTCAGTGTATAACATTTTAGATTTCCTGTATTAATCTATTCTTTTTTAGTCTTATTTAATTTTCACTTCAATTTAGTTCACAATTCAGCCTTTTTGTTCATTTTTTATTTTTTTAGTTCACTTCAATTCAGATTAGGTTTAAATACGTGGCCTTAAAATTAATCCGGACATTAATTTGACTCTCAAGTCACAATCTACAATGTAGCGTAGGTACTGTAGTACCACTAAATGCAAGCTAGCCTTTTTGTTTAGTTGTTATTTGAAGTGGATTGTCAAGTATTTACAATAAAGTGATAAAGCCCGTTAAAAAAAAATAAAAAAATAAAAAAAAAAAAGTGATAAAGAAAACAGAGAAGTTGCCAAAAAAAAAAAAAAAAGTTTATCATATACCTCCTGGATGAAGCCTGTTGTTTCCCTGTTTATAAAAAATAAAATTCAACATCAGCTACACAACCAACAAACATACTTACAACATGAAAATAGAATCATTAAATGTACATAATCTGAGAGAAGAATATCCTAACTTCTTATTTACCTTCCTTTTTTTTAGTGTAATGTCACTATATTATATCGAAATTAGAAGATGGATTACCTCAATGACGCTCGAAAACGCGACCAACACTAGTAAAACAACCAGCACAATGCTGTAAATGTGACTACGTCCAGCCATATCCAAACTCTCTAAATAAGTTAAGATGATTTGAGCAATGCAAATGTAAGAGAGAATGGAAATGGTAATGACATGAACAAAATAAAGGGGTGTAAGAAGAGTTTATATAGATGTAAGAAAGCGTTAGTTGAAAGTAAAAGAGGATGATTTTGTGGGGCACAGTGTTATATGCTCAAGTGGGGAGGCAACTAGCGGTGGTCTAGGCGTGATATATGGGATATGTGATTGAAGAATAAAAAGTTTGTAACGGTAAATCCGGCGTGTTAGTTGCATTTCTTTCGTAAAAGTTTGCAACTTTTTTGTTTGGATTTTTTCCACTTTTGTCAATGTTGGATGTCATGTTAGTTCAACAGTAACTACTGTTTTAACTGTTGCACCTCTATTTCTGTTGTTTTATTATCTCTTTTATCATGTGACTTGTGAATTATCACCGACGGTATTTTGTTTTAATACTCCGCGTACTATGGTTTTATACTTTTTACTTTATTTTGTTCTATTTAATTGTTAAGGGTTATGAATGATTTTGGGATTAAACAAGACTAGCAGGTTGATCGGGTTGGTTTTGAAAATTACCGAGTCCGTTTGGTTTCGTTGTTTTATTACGGTTTCTATTCAAGTAGAGTCCTAATCAGTGTAAGTTGTAATCGGTTTGTGTTGATCTAAATTGGACCAGTTTTAAAGCAAGTTTAGCTAGTTTAAAGAGGGGATCCTATTCAAATTTGATGGATTAAAATCGAGTAGAATCATTATTTAGTCGGGTTAATCGAATAACGATAGGAACGAGTCGGGTCATAAACAAGTCTGGTCTTATTTAAGTTGGGTTTACGAGTAGCGGTTGAAATGGGTCAAGTCAAATTGAGATAGTCTCTAAGCAAGCTGGGTTAAGAATCAGGTAGTGGGTATAAAGAAGCCGGGTCAAAATCGAAACTTGGTGTTGGGTTTGAGAGTGTGGAACGGTTTCAAGAAGGCTAAGGGGGTGCATAGCTTAGGAGATTAAGCTATGGGCTATTGCTTTGTGTTAAGCAATGATGGATGACAAAGGGCTGACTTCAAATGGGCATATCTCAAGATCTAGAAGTGATATTGAGATGATTCAAGTTGGAGGTGATAGCTTGTCTCAAGAGCTTTCCAACAATTGGTCATAAGCTTGATTTGGTTCAGAGTCGAGGGAGTTATGGCTGTTTTAAGAAGAGTTGTCTGCGCAGTGAGGGAGTTCGACCGAACTCATGAAAGGTTCGGTCGAACCTAGTTGCTTCTAAGTAATTGAGGAAGAATGTGTAGCATTTTGATTTCTAGATCAGGTTCGGTCGAACCAAGGAAGAAGTTCGACCGAACCACCTCATGTTCGACCGAACTCTGGGAAGGTTAGGTCGAACCATCGAGCCCCTGTTCAGCAACGCGATTTCTTTCATTTCGCTCGGGATGTAATCTTAGTCGTTGATCTTCCTACTCTATATATACTCTTGTATTATCATTGTAGAGAGGGAAAAGGAATAGGATGAAGGGAAAAGATGCAGAGAGAGAAAGCCTCATGAAATACCCAAACACTTAGGGTTTGAGTGTTTGAGAGGGTGAGTTTGGGGTGGGAGCTTTAATGGTGATTGAAGCTTGTAAATTACATTATTCTTCATCAAATTGTTACTCCATAATGGATTGGTGGGTTTTTCTCCCGGTTCTCGGGGTTCCCACGGTAAATTCTCCTTGTCTCGTTTATTGCTTGTTTTTCCGTCTTCGTTGTTGTTAATTGTCATTAATCGCAAACTTAACTAGCACATTAGTAATCCCTTTCACTTGGGTCCTAAATAAGTTGATTAATCACAGGTAGCAACATATCTGCTCAAAATCGAGTCAAGACTTACACAAGTTGGATTATTTGGTAACAGATTAGAACAAGTCTAGTTGTAATTGGTCGGATGCACACTCGGTTAATTAGGTATAGAGTAGTATGTAAGTTAGAATGAGTTTGAGCATAAACTCACAATAAATAAGGGTCATAAACAAGTTAGGCTGATTTAATAGTAGGTTGAAACGAGTCAGGTGAATTAAATCATAATAGAGTCGGGTCAAAAAGAAACTAGGTTTGTTAGGTCATACACAAAATCAAATCAGGCCAAGTTCGAGTCAAAATGTAAATAAGTTAGGTTGATTAGGTAAAACAGTAAAATGAGTTGAGTTGTAATTGATCAAGTCATTAATAAACATGTTCGGTTAATTGGATAGTAGGTTGGAACTTGTTGGATCTTAAACTCATTATAAATAGTAAAAATGATCCCAATTTTTGTATGTTCTCTCAAAATAATCCCAACTTTGGATTATTTTTAAATAATCCGAACTTTTGGGGTCATCCACTCAAAATGATCCCAAGTGATCGATAACTTGTTAAAGAGGTAATTGTTTTTGGTTTTAGTAACACGTGTCATCACGTGGTTGGTTGACAATTTTAAAAAAATAATAAAAACAAAAAACCAACCCTAATCCACGACAACCCCCACCACCACCCTGATTTTCGGCAACCTTAGCTTTTCCTACAGCCTAGCCAAGGTACATGCCCCACCCTCCAAAATATGTCGCGCCCAACCTCCTTTCCCCCGCGCCGGTGTTGGTACCGACTCTGCCCTTCATTACCCCCTAAATTCCCTAAACCCCCAAACCACCATTATCAACAACTCAAAACCTATAAAAAAAAACCCAACCCTACCGCACAAACACCACAATCGGCCCCTCTACCCTCGAAACTCTAGCGGCTAGAGTTTAGGGTTTCGAGGGTAGGGGAGGGTCATTTAGAGGGTTTTATAGTTGGGCCGGGCTGTGATAATGGGGTTTTGAGGGTCAGTTTCGACTGGGTATGTTGGAGAGAAGGTTAGGGTGCCGCCAGAGGTGCAGGGTTCTGGGAAGGATCGTAGCTGGTGGTCGGGATAGTGGTTTTGACGTGTGAGTGGGGCTGGGTTTTTGTGTGATTTTTGAAGTTTTTTTTTAAGCTTTTATTCCATATTTTTTTTATTATTTTTCAAACATTCATGTGATGACACGTGTCACCTTTGAAAGGAATGATGTCCTTCGAATAAGTGTATTTTTCCAATAGAGGGTTCAGAATTATTAGAAAGCTAATTATTCAGTGAGGTCAAGTGATTGAAATGCTTAGCTTGAGGCCATTTCCGACCAATAATATTAATGCATAATTAATATTACAGCTCAATCTTGACTGAATCCTTTGGGTCACACCCAATAGAGTAACTGATTCGAGACGACGAATTAATCCGAAGGATTAAATGACTCATTAGAGTATTACGAACAAAAACGTCGAATATCGAGTTGGTAGTGTCGAAACCGATTGTCGTAAGTCGAGTCAAATTTAGGAATTGACGAGACGAGAAATCAAGCAAACAATAAGTTAAAATATATCCCTATCCTTGGGTTGGCCTGGCTAATCGAGAGCTAAGCTATATAGGCTAGCTAGCCATAACCGTAAGCAAGGCCGCAAGCTCAGCAGTCCTATAAGGGTGCTAGCCGGTGCTTGCTAGCCGAGCTCGCAAGCTAGTAGTGCAAGCAAGGAAAACCGCAAACTTGCATGCTGTGCCTCGCTAGCAACTGCTAGCAATAACTAGGCGTGCTAGCAAGGCAAGCCGTAAGCTTGCATGTTGTGCCTCGCTAGCAACTACTTGCAATAGCTAGGCGTGCTAGTTCGAACAACCCGCACCATTGCAGCGAGGCTAGCAGCAAGCCATTGCTCGATGGGCCTCGCGCACATATGCAAGAGCAGCAGCGTCCAGTAGCCCGCAATAATGTGTGGCGTGCTGGCGCGGGCTTTCATCACATGCAACCAGCATGCTCAGCCTTGGGGCCATGCAGGCCACCAGCGCGACAGCCTTGGCGCCAAAGGCAGGCCACGCCAGCCGGCGCGGTGCCATTTGTCGGGTGTATGGGTGAGCCATTTGTGTGAGCTTGCTTGAAGAGCAAGGGGTGGTTGGTCCCCCCTTGTGGTCTTCACCTAAGCCTTTCTCCCGAGCAAGCTCACATAAATGGAAAAACGAGGCACAAAACCCCTAAACACCTCACTCGGCCAGTCGGGTTGCTTGCACAACCCACATGTGGCTGTCGAGGGTGCGGGGTAGTACCTCGTGTAGGAGTTTATAGGTATTATATGCGGATAACATGAAACATATACATAAAGAACCTAAATCCAAGATCGCCTTCATAACACACAAGACACATAATCATACCTTTGAAGCGTGAATTCCACGAGGCTAATCAATTGGCAAATCAGGGAGAGAATAGAGCCCCAAGCGTTGCTCCTCTACTTAGCCCACAGGATTTGAATGATCCATCCACCAATACTAGATTGTTTGAGTGAAAGAGGAAAATCGTGATCACCACCTTTAATGGACTAAACCGACCACCACGAACCACCACCACAACTGGTGCCAAGGGAGGAGAGAGCCGTGGATGAGAGGGACTGGGGGAGTGTGAGAGGGTTAGGTTTCGTGTTTGCTAATTAGGGTTTGATATTCCTGATCACTGAATTGCATTGCATGTCAAAACCCTAGGCACCTAGTCTTTATATAATCCTATTATAATTAGACTAGGTCACAAAACCCAAAAACCCTCCGTATCACTCCATATTGCATGTCAAAATCCTCGTGCTGATCTAGGCCCTTTGTGTGACCTTATAGGATCCGTCCAATTTGGCTTTAGCCTATTTTACTAGCCCAAAGATCATTAGTACCTCTAGCTATGATATATCGACGACCCAAATGTATGAACTTAATTATCTCCATAGCTTGATCCATTTTTATATCTAGTAATTGGACACGACGAAGACATAAATCCTTCAATCTCCCACTTGTCTGAGACAAGTGTGCAATATACAAATTTATTAAGTCAATGTGTGTCGATTTGATAATATGATTGCATCACATGTCGACATCATAATAATCTACAAATCATTTCTTGATATTTGAGTTCGTATTACAAAACCAAATGATTACTGAGTAATGCATTTGAACACGGCCACGTATTTTCTTAATTCTCCCTCTTCAAGAGGCCATGACACATTCCCTAATATAATAGGTAGACTCAATCTAATCTTGTAGAAACAAAGCTCCC